TTAAAAAAAAAAAAAAAAAAAAAAAAAATACAAAAAATGATCACCAAATTTTTTTATGTTTGTATGCGTATGTGTAAGTAAGAGTGTAAATGAACTTTTTTTTTTTTTTTAAAAATAATCAGTCTTAATTTTTTGTTAAGCAGTCAAAAACTTATATCTTCATGTTTGATTTTGAAATGAATTAGCTTAAAAAATGTTACTATTATTTTCATTAGAATCCACACAGATTAAATAAAGAGTAATATTAAGGAGTTAAATTAGTTTAATTTTTTTTTTGGGATATGACTGAAATATTGATTGTATAAGGTCAAAATTATATTTTCTACATTTTAAAACTAAGAAATTATTAACTAAGATAAATTAGGCAACACGTGTATTGTTGGTCATTGCTTAAATCTTTAACACAAAATACTGTTTTTGTACTAATAACAATCTATTCAAATACATGAAAGACTCATTTACAAACACATGCGCATATACATTTTTCTAAGTTTATTAAGGAAGATATTTTGAACTTAAAAATCTAATTAAAACACAACAATAATAACAACATGGACAATAATCTTCTTGCTTTTTCTTTTAAATATATCTATACATACATACAAACATATATATGTATATTTACTATTTCAGACCTATAAGATAACACTAAAACGATTTATAATTATAAATATGAATTATTTTTTTATAATAATAAATTAAAAAAAAAAAACATAGGAAGAAATGTATATATATAATATTGTAGCTGGTGAACATGATAAAATTAATCACTAAAAATCTCATTCATAAATTAAAAACACCCCGTAACCGTCTTAATATCTAAAGTCACAAAACTACTAATATTAAAATTAATTTATAATCCTTATTTACTTTGGTAGTATACAATTAAAAATAAAAGAAGAACTCACATTATAAATTAATAAAATAAAAACATTTAAGTCTTAAAAAAGTTATAGGTGCGCTGCCAAAACGATTACCCAGAGTCGAATGGCAAACAAAATAAAATTATATAATATCTAAAATATAAACTTGGCTCGATTTGTTGAAGCTTAATAAATAAGTCGATTAAGTGTTCATGGTGTTCTAAGACCTTATAATAAAAATGTCATTATTATATTTGGACTCTGTTAAGATTATATAAATATATATATATATATCTATATATAGATTTAGTCAGATTTCTTTTACATTGTTTCACTGCCTAATAGGTCACCAGGCAAAAACGAATTTATAGAAGATGGTGTGGTACGATGAGGATCAATTTGATCTCCGCCAGCTCCCCATAATGATGATGAAGTACCAGGTGGTCCAGAATTATTGCCACCCCATAATTGACTGTTTGCCCAAGTATCTGAACCCTGTTGACCTTGAGAATTGCCATTATTACCATTACGATTATTATTCCAGTTAGATTGCTGTTGTTGCTGTTGTACAGAATTATTACCACCAGTATTACCAGCACTACCACCACTTAAATGAGCAAGTACCATTTGCACTTCAGCATCTGTGGGGGATTCGGCGAATATGGTTGTATTTCCAAGCACACAATTGTTCAAAGCTCCTTGGGCCTAATAAAAAAATCAGCCCACCCAAACAATTTGTATTTGTAATTTTTTTTAAAAAAGTGATTTAATTACTATTATGAGATTTGCAGCATATTTAATAAGCAATTATTTCATATATAGAGTTATAATTTATATGATAACTATATTTATAATTTATTAGATATAATAATATAATTCTACACCCCATTTATATTAACTTATTTTAAACTAAACTTAATTACAAAAAATATTAATTTTAGTAAATTTAATTAAACTTATTGTTTTTGGGTGTTAGACAAGTTTTGAATACATTAATTATATTTTGTAATACTGTTTTATAACAAACAATGGCTACCAAGAGATTACGAGAGCACTCATAAAATAGCATAAAATTAAACATAATTTTTTTTTTTTTGGCAAAAATCTATTAAAAAAAAATTACATTTACTTGAGATTAAAACTTATTTTCTTGTATTCTTAAAAAGGGGTACTATTAGATTTTAGAATCTAATAGTTAAAAACAACTACCCAGTGGTCTAATAAATCTGTTTTTAAAAAAAGATTTGTAAATTTTGATTTAATATTTAAAATAATATACAATATTTATAATATTATTATTAAAATAAACAATTATAAATTTAAAATGAAATATTTAATTTTAAATTAAATATTTGGAAAAATTTGATTCATGTTTATCAAAGCTTACTATTGAAATTATATTTGATATTTATATGACTCCCTAATATTTCAGTAATTACTTAAGTATATATTATCTTCAAAACTAACAAACTTACCTTGCTAGCTTCCTCTCTGGATGAATATTTAGCCAAAGCTATTCCATGGCTGAGATACATATGGAAATTTAATAATGGGCCATGTTGAATACATAGTGTTTTTAAGGTTGATCCATCAATCTACAGAAATTTAATTAAGATAAATTTTAAACATAAACAAATATATATATATATATAAAGTAATTATTTTAAATAATACCTGAGGAGTTAAATTTTTCAATAATAACCATGTACTTGCTATATTGTTTGATGAAGATTGCCATGATGATCCATTATTTGAAGGCCACCTGGGCCAACCATTATTAGGAGGATTACTAGTCTTATTAATTCCACCAGAAAGACCAGGTGGCGGACCTCGTGACTTACCACTAGATCCAAGAACATTTCCCCAAAGATCATTTCCAGTATTTCCATCAGCCCAATTATTTTTTGAATTATTTACTTTGCCCAAAGGACTAAAATTAGATAAAATATGTGTATTCAAGTTATTAATAAAAATAAAAATCATACCTAGAGAAAGAAGATTGTGTTGATGAGGTAGGATTAAAACTCCAAGTAGAAGATGAAAGTGAAAGTGGAGTTAGTGGCATATCAACAGCAGACTGTGAACTGGTTGGAGAAGTCTTACCACCACTATTAAATATATCTGAATTATTTGAATCTTTTATAGTGGCAGCTAAAGATAGAGGACTCCGTACAACTGATCCAGGTGTGATTGTTGGATCATCTTCAATATTTTTCATCTGATTACCCTACAAAATATTAATATAATATAATCATTTTAAGAATTTTGTTAAAAAATATTGTCAGGAAAGTCACCTACCTTCCAAGGTTTTCCTGGTTCAAACTCTGGTACTAAATCAGTAAAAGCAGATGATGAATTTGATTGAGGATTTGCCCCGTTAGGCCAACCTTCTTTATTGTCATCAGGATTATCTGGCCAACCACTTTCAGAACGCGCTCCCACATTGGTCCAAGTTCTAAATCATATGACATTAATTTAATATTCAACTTTATATTATATCTAACCTATGCCTTAAAATTTAAATGTTTTATTCCAAAATGTACTGTTGTTACATGGAACTCAAGTATAGAAAAACTATACTATCTTATTATTTAGAATGCTAACTATCTTATATTGTTCATGTTATCGATTGTAGCCATTCACTTTTAGGCCAAACAATCAAATTCCTTCTATATTTCATTTACAAATTTAGTTAGTAATCTTTTTTGTATGTAAAAATTAATAATTTAAATACTACTACTACTTAATGATATGTGAGTCATAGTTTAACTATCACTCTCTATATTTATGAATAAAATGAAATATCAATGACTTTTTCCTGGGTGGGTGGTAGAGGGAACCACTATAAATATGCTTTTGTCGAAAAATGTTACATATATATTAAAAAGATTTTATTTTTTAAAAAGCATAAACGTGAATAATTAATGCATTTAAATAAAATAGTGAAATATTACATAAGAACTCTTTAAATGTGAAGGTAATAAAAAAAATACATATACATACACACACACACAATTGTTATTCTACTCAATTTAATTTTACATTACCCATCTGGTTGATTAAGTATAGAATTGAATGTTGGCGAGCCATTTCCAGGTGTAGATTTGGAGTTAGCTCCAGGAGCCCGACTAAAATCACTACCCATTCCAAGATCATCTTTGTCTAAATTCGGCATCTTCCATTGGTTTAAACGCGATTGTTGACTAGTTTGAAATCCTTGACCACTCTACAACATTAATTAATGATTATATTACCAATTAGGTTGCACAATGCAAAACTTTATTTTTCATTTTTCAGGAGAACCACTTTAAAGAAATAACATTACAGGAAGCATAATACAAAATTTAATATAAAAGGAAAGCTAAATAGATTTTCAAAAGGATGGTGCTATTTAACTATTAATGACTAATAAAAATTTAATATACTTAATAAAATTCCTAATAATTTACCATAAAATTATGAACTGATAAAATTGAAAATGTACATTGTGATTAGATAAAAGCAAACAATATATAAATAGATATTTACAATTTGAGAATCTTTGTTTAATGATATATCAGAAAATCCAGATTGTAAAAGTGTTAATGGATCATTTTTGAAAAATTCTCCTCCTTGATTATTCATCAATCCCGACAGACCAGTAAAATTAGATTGGTTCTGATGAGCTTGCGCTTTCATATGTATAGCTTGATTGTTAGCAATTTGGTTCTGTGAAAAAAAAAAAAAAAAAGAAAAGGCTATTAGTTTTAAATTTATTAATTAACAAATATCTTTTAAAAAGAGTTTATTAAGTAATTTTTAAATTGATATTCAAAATTTAAACAACTTTTTTTTATTAATAAGATGATTAAAGGTGGTAACCTGTAAAGTTGCAATTTGTTGACGAGCTTTAGTCATAGCTATAGCAGCAGTTACCATAGCAGGACCAGATTTTGGAGCATTACCAATTGCTGCTTGTATCTGAGCATTTTGTTGTAATATTTTAATTTGCTGTAAGAGTTGATTAAGCATTATTAATGTTTGTGGTGCTAATGGTTGATTAAGTATTTGATGATTGAGATAACCAGCTTGAACAGCCATCTGAATTTGTTGTACAAGCATTCTCAACTGTTGAGCAGTTGGTTGATTGGGCATCTGTCGTGAACCACTCTTTAAATGATAAACAATTAATTAATTCCAAGTTATTAACTATCTCTATACATAGTAATAATATAGACGAAAATATTGTCTTAAGTTTAAAAAGATGCTATGTTAGAAAAAATATTACTTGAGAAAATTGCTGTTGCATAGAATTTTGTTGAGATGGTGGTTGTTGAGCTAGTAATTTTTGTAATATAGCTTGCTGTTGGTTTGAATTATTTGCCATCTACCATAATAAAAAAAAAACAATGATTATAAATTAAAAGGACTAAATTTTATAATATAAATAATGTTTCTATAATATGCAAAATATTTAACTAGAATAATTAAGTAAAGTATAAATTCATATTTATAGAGTTAACTATACTTTTACTGCAGTAATACATATCATAGAACTTTCAAAAATATTAATTGAGACATTCTACAGACCATTTATATTTATAATATATATATATTTATATATAAAAAACTGTGTTTTTTAGAAAAAGACAATTTTAAGTTCTATTTCAAAATATTTTGAATTATTCATTTTTTACATTATGTGCCTTTTTTTAAAATAATTAGGTTACATAAATAGTACAATAAGACAATTAACTTATAAAAAAATATATCTTTAGTGAATTATTAACAAAAAAATAGAAAAAAACAAACTTAAGTATAAAGTAATTGTTATATATTTGTTTAAAACGATCTTATGGTAATATTCTTCATGATATTTGTACATATATTTACTTATTTTATTGCATATAGCAGTTAGATTCAAAGATATTCCCGGTTTGGATTTCAATTTGACCATATTTGGAAAATTGTGCTTATTACTTCATTGAATGATTTGTAACATAAAAAGAACAATCTTTTTTCATATATATCATTTGGACACACTTAAAAAAACATTGATCAAAACTTCTATCCATGTTTTTTTTATTATATTTCTATCCGTGAACACATTAAAAGGAGTTGGATTATTATAACACCAACTATAGACTTTAAATATGATTTTATTATACCAATGATTTTTTTTTACTAGTTCAAAGTTAGTTTCAATCACACTTCTGGTTGAAAGTTATCTCGTATTAAATATATATAGAAAATATCAACTTAAACTATTTTACAAACCACATTTTGAACTGGAATAAGAGTGTATTTCTTGTTTTATTCTCTAGAAGTATAGCTTTGAGCAGTGGCAATATCGTAACCAATGAGGTCTATCCGAGGTGCGATTATTGCTAGTTTTTTGTCTGACCTTCAATGAGGGAATATATATATATATTGGTGATTAATCCTTATGAACATTAACATTAATATAATTATTGTATGTGACATATAATTAAGGCAAGGATAGATTCAGACAATAATTCACATATTCATAATTCAATGACAAGGAATGTGTTGTCATTCCTCCTCCTTTTCATTACCTCTTTTCTTAATGCCATATATATATATATATTTAACTTTCTTTGATGAAGAATGTTTTTTACTTGGCAAGAAAAGTTTAGGATAAACTTCCATTTTACAGTATAAAAATCACATACATCTATTTTTAGGACATTGAAAACATAATTAAGACTTAAAATTGTTGAAATATGTTTTGTCAAACCTATTTTAAAATTCTCACTAGTATTTTAATATTCAGTTCACTTTTTCAGCTGCAATGCAGTTTAAATGAGCTTTCATGAGATCTAATACGTCAAATTTCAATAATATAGTACTAAGTAACATATGATCATTGATTTTCTTAACAAATTAACTTATCAGACATTTTATTTTTAACAACTCAAATTCATTTTATAAAAATTACTCCAAGACAAACTTAAAATTTTTTTTTTCAATTATCTGAAAAAATTTATTTCCAAATCCCATTTGGACTTGAGGTTTTTCATGGAGTTTGTCTTATATATTTCTTTATGCATTGATAAAGCATTTTGTCAAAGCTTTTTCTGCGTATAAATTAAATGAAGTTTTCCTTCTGTAAATTTGTGTTTATTTTCTTCTAACACACTGTTATTACAATATTTTTGTACGACTTAAAACATTTTTACATCTATTTATTTTCCAAATCTTGATGTATACATTTTTCTTACTAGTAGTTTTTTAGATTTTTTTATTACGAATTTAATACTATACTTTCTCTTCCTCAATAAATTAACTCGTTTCATCTTCATCCGAGTCCATATAAAAAAAATATTTGTAACTTTTTATATAAAAAGAATAGAACGCGCAACAATTATTGATAATATAATTGCTATTATACTAAAAATATTGATAAATTTTTTCTTTAGTAACAGAATTTTTACAATAGATGTATAACAATTATTTTATAACAATCTCTGAAAAAAAAAAGCCTATACATTGATGAGCTTTCGAAACACCTTAATAATAAAGCATAATATTTTGAGCAATTGTTATCCTTACTTTGAATTATTTATTTATTACAAATAATCATAGACAGAAAAAAAAAAAAAAAAAANCATTATTATACTGCTTTATTCTTTAATAAATTTTAATGATAGCTTACAGAAGGCACTGCAAAAGGCAATTGTTGAGAGTTGTATCTTTGTTGATTTATATTAGAACGATCAAATGGATTTTGATCATCAGGATGTTGACCTCGTCCACCATGAGAATTCCATGTATCTAAATTTCCATTACCAGGTCCTCTAGTTGACATTAAAAATTCTAGTGCTTCTTCAATACCAATATTGTATGAGCGAGAAACTGCTTCAACATCTTCTTTCTATTATTTTTATTTTTAAATTAATTGAATTAAGTATAATTAAATTTCAAAATGATAATTACCTTGACACCCATTTCAGTAAGAATTCTATATGGTTTACTTTGCCATATGTAATCTTTATTTTGATTTTTTTGACCCTTCATATAAAGAATTCAATTAATCAAAATTCTAAATTTAATTACAATAAACAAAAATACTCACAACATTTTTTTGTCCCCATGAAGATGGATCCATATCATTGTTAGCACAGTCTCCCCATGAATTTTTAGATTTGGGTCCTGGTCCCCATTCAGAATTAGGCCATGGACCTCCTGAAGTACCTCCTAAACCCATTTTATCATCAACCCAAGGGCCACCAATATTTAAATCATGAGGTCCACCATTTCCACCTCCACCAACATCACCCCATGATCCATTCCTTTAGAAATAAAATAGTGATTTAATACTAATAGAGTTACTTAATTAAATATTTACCTAGGATTTCCTGGCCATAATTGTTGATCAACCATTTTATTGGGAGGCATTCCACCTCTGTTTGGAGGAACACCCGGAGGACACTGATTTCCCATATTGCCTGATGCATTATTTCTACCAGCGGCTGCAACAGCAGCAGCAGCCATGTCAGCTTTACTCCAATGTTTATTAACGTTATGCTGATTGTTCAATAAACCTACTAAAATTATTTATAAGATAAGAATATTTGGAATATATAATAATATTTATCAAATTTAATATATTATGAGTTATTTAAATGATTAACTTAATTAAAAAGTTATATCCTAATAGTAACCATTGAGAATATACAACTAACCTAAGTATTTTAACTCATAATAGATAAAATTTATCCTATTTAAAGAAATAATATCTTAACATAATAACACAGGAAATAAATCTTCAAACCATTCTTTATTTTAAAACTTAATTTGTTAGAAACAAAATTTATCCTTTTTTTTCTGACAGAAGTTAATATTAAGAGGGAACAACAATAATATTCATACTGAACTAGGAATACCATTTAAATAGTAAAAAAGCTTACAAAACATAATATTTGAAATAATTGTGATGAAGAAAAAATTATAGCCATAAGATTATGTCTTTTTTATTATTTTTTAAAAAAATTTAATTTAAATAATTTAATTTTTACTATACAAGTATAATAGTGACTTGTAACATTTTAGATGTAACGTTAACACTCAGAACTCATAATTATAGATTCTACTAAACATATGATTTCATTATTGACATGAAAATTAATCACTACCTAATCAAAGTTAAAAAAATGTAAAAATTAACAGTTATGAATATTACTGCTGCATGATCTTAAAATAACCAACCAATTGCTATAAGGCATAGTTGGTCTTACCGCCAGGTATATTGGGTCTAGATTGAGCATTTCCCCATAAAGATGTGCCATCATCGTAATTTAATAAATTTCGTCTGTGATCTGTGGGTGATGGTTCTTCCCATCCACTGCCTTTGTTGTTGTTATTCATAGGATTTAAATCTTTGGGTGGTGGTGGTGGCCCTGACCATTGATTTATTACTGAAAACAGCATAAAGTACTTTGTGCTTCAATTCTACACAGTTTTTTATTTTATTTAAAATCCATATGTATTCATCACACTTTTAACATAACAACAAAATGATAATGAAGATTTTTTGTGAAGCATTAATTTAATTTAAGCATTATAAAATTTGAATACTGGAGCAATGGAATTTTATAAAAAGAAACTTAACACAAGTTTTTTTTAATAAATCACTTTGAAAATTTGCAAACTTATTATGTATTTATAGCTTATTGAAGTTTAAAAATTATTATAAATTCATTTTTAAGAATTATAATAAGAGTTTTACTATATAAATAATATACTATATAAACAGTAGTATCTTATTACGTTGTAACAGTTATTTCATCAAATCATTAGTTTCTGTCAGCATTAAAGTGTTTAACCTATTTTTATATATAAAAAAGAAGAAAACATTATTAACTAATTCCTAATAATCTAATTAATGAGAGAGTTATTAATATATAAACCAGTCCCTTTAAAAAGATAAAATAAGTATCATTTTTTCATATTCAAGCAGTCTTAATTTTATGGTTGGTTAAGTAAAATATAACTATGTACGGTACTCTAACTTAATTTACACGACAGTAAATTTTATTACTAATAATATAACATGAGTTATAAAATTAACATATAAGCAAAAATTTCATTGATTGGACTTCATTACATAACCACTACAATACAAATCAAAGATAATAACTGAAATGATTTCAGATTTTTGAAAATTGTGACCATATTTAGGAAGTTAGTTGATTTATATAAAATATTTTCCAAGGAATTTTAAGGCTAATAATTATAAAAACTAAAAGTATTATAAAATTCCTTAAATACCTTAACCAATCTAAAAAATTGATATTAAGTTTAATTAAAACGACCTTTCAGAAAGAGTTTTATAATATTTTTGGTTTATGTAAGTTTATTCAACATATTCTAAAAAAAAAAAAATGATATAGAGGAGCTAATTTACTAGATATAAGAAAAATGACAAAACAACTGAAGCCTTGGTACAAATTAAAGGATATTAAGAAAACAAATAAAAAATAACTATAATGTATAAAATAAAAATAAACATGAAGAGACCCACCAACATTCATCTAGTTAATTATATGAATTGAGGCACTATGTGGGAAACAGCAAAAATTTTAAACTTTTTTTTTTAGTTCATTTGAAATATAATAAATATAAATGTTATTACTCTGAAAATATTAATAATATGCTAATTAGTTCCATTGATGAAGGCAGTTATTATATCAATGGAACTCAAAATATTTAAAAAAAAAAAAAGGAAATAAATAAAAATATATTACATATTATAAAAAAATAAATAGGTTATGTCTCATGGAAACTTTTTTATATTTAAATTAATAATATTTTTAACGTACTAAAAAACTATAAAATTGTATTGAACAAAAGTATTAATTCAGGAATTATCTAGGTTTGTTTCTTATTAACACTGTTACACACACAATAAATAAAAAATTTAGAAAATTATAACTAATTGTATTATAAACTACATAAAATATTTAGGTTTCTAAGAATATGTGCAGTGATATACAAAAATTATTTCATCAAAATAGGAGCTAATAGCATTGAAAAAACGTAAAATAGGTGTAATTACATTTAAGTTAAAAAAATTATATAATAAATATATAAAAATAATAATTTTATGCAAGTTATCATAAGATAAAATGCAATATTTAAATAAAGAATGTTTCTTATCCTTAACATACTATTCTGATTCCAGTATTCAAAGTTAATATAATTAAACAAATTTTCATGATTATAGCAATGTCAATGTCAAAATTAATTTTTTAAAAGTATAAGTAAATTTTTACTTGTACACTTTTTATATATTAAAAAAATAAAAAATATTAGCCTTTTAATTACCACCACCGCTAGCATAATAAAAAATTATATATATATATATATATATATATCTTTTGTTTGAACTTTTGCTTTATAATTTGCTTACTGTTCAGTTGAACTATTTTTAATTTGCGCATATTTTGTATATTTTATCAAAGAATGTTATNAGAAATTTTAAAAGCGAGATCCTTAAAGGCTTGAAGATTCATTTATAAATAGGTTAGTGTATTATAATTTTATAAGCTTAAAAACAAGAAATAAATTGTTGATAATTTAATGATGTGTTTGTTAATAATAATTACAATAATAACAGTGCAGATATACACATTCAACAGTGCAAAGTTATTGATCATTTTTAAAAATATTTTTCTTATGTATATTCTAGATTTGAATAGCTTGTTCCAAGTATATATTTTTATTAGTCATATTCTACATTATACACAATGCATAAAATTAGTTAAGTTAACAGATATGCTAACCCACTTTTAAATTATTATTAGAATTAAGTGGGGGTTGTAAGGGAATTTTTGAAATGTTGAGTTCACAAATATAATGTAAATATTTGTTTAAAATTATCAATTGTAATTATAGAAATTCAACATTTATTTTAAAATAAATAAGCACTTTTTTACTATCTTCACATACTCTAATTCTATATGTGTTAATATACAATATATCATAAGCTTATATTTACATTACTCAGTAATGAGTGTGGTTTTTTAAACTGTTTAATTAGTGTATTATACTGAGTGATTCTTTAAAAATTAACCGCTTGAATTCTCTTAAAATAATAATTATGTTAAGAAAATAATTTTTGTTATTAACTTTGACGTGAAGTTGAAAAAGTATTTGTTTTGTGATGGTGTTTTTTTCTAATGTCTGTTCATAAAAATGTTCTCAGCTCTCTCTGAACTTAATTTAATAACGAATACATCAAAAGAATCCAATTTTAATTTAGTTAAAACTTAAAACATTGATTCTAATGAAATTTAAACTAGAGACAATAAGTTTTTATTTGGCATGCTTTTTATAAAAGTCCAATGAAAAACTTAAACATAGGAAGGGTTTGAAAGTGACCACCTCATGTACACGTAAAACTTATTTTTTCAAACAATTTTGGAACAACTGGTATCTTAAAACCTATATAAAATTAAAGCTTTTAAAATAAATTATAATATTAAAAAAAAAAAATCGCAAAGTTAAAAATAAAACATCAATGGTTATAGAGAGGATCAAACAATATTAGTTAAAAACAGAAAAATAGCACATAAGTTTAAAAAAATGTTTAACATACTAACAAACCAACATAGTTAGCGGGACTATCATAGAAGAATGTAACCCAGCAGAGCAAAATATAGAACCACTACCATCAAGAAATGGTTTCAAAGACAAAAGTTGGTTGCTCAAAATTGCTAGTAATGCTCAAAATCAGAAAGACAATTGGAGAGAATGAAATAATAAATGAATGCCGTAAAAACAGACATCAACTAACAAACCAGTTACACAATCTGATAATTAAAATATGGGAATGTGAAGAAATACTTTACCTGGCATACATCTGTTTAATGTGCAGTTTTTAAAAAGAGACACTATTATAAAAAGCAAATTAAAATTATAGGGGAATTTACTATTGAATATATTGTATAAGATACTATCAAATATTCTACTTGTTAGAATGAAACTTTATTTACACAAAATTTTGTATAGCAGGGAAGTCAATGTTGGATCAAATGCATGTTATGTTATCAAGCACTGAAGACTGAAAAATGTCACAAATTTAACATAGATCTCATTTTTAGATTTCAGGGTTGCTTACATACAATTCAATGAACAGTGATAAATTATGGAGCACAATATGCCAATTGGGCATACTTGAAAAGCTTGCAAGATTAATTCATACATATATACAGGAATCAAAATGCAAAGTGAAATTTGGTGATGTAATATCAGAAGACTTTTTTTAATTTAGCTTAGAATCAGTTATAAAAGAAACCCCAGTAACAGTTAGTGGAATTGGAAATGAGTAGTAGTTTTAATTACTTTATTTAATTTTACAATTAGTAGTAAGCTGCATATACAGATGATTTAGTTATAATGGTAGAAATTGAAGTTCAAAAAGGATACTTTAAAAAACCTTGATGGAAAATGAAACAAAATAATGGGCATTAAATATTAAAAAGTTAATTTTTTTTTTTTAATTTTTCAACTTAACTAGTTAATTATTATTCTGATAAACTTATTAACTTAACTAATTTAATTTTCAATTGAAATAACTTAGCTTTTTCAGTCAATTAGTTAAAATAACAGTTAAGCTAAATTCAAAATTTCACAAAAAAAAATGTATGTCTTTATATGTGTATGTGGTTTAATTAAAAAAAAAAACTGAAATCCCCCCCTCCAATATTGTATTTATATAACAATATAATTTTCTGAATTTTCAAAAATGTATATGATTTTAACTGATTTTTTTTTTTTTAATAACTACTTTTAAAGATAAAGCAGTGCAACCAACACAAAAATGTACAAACATTTTTCTTGATATCATTAATATTTTCATTCTATTCAGTTAAAAATTAATTTTTTAACTTTCCCTTGCATCACCAACCAATAAAAAATTATTTTAAGAGATTTTAAACAAAATAAACTTTATTTAAACTAATTAAGTTAAAAAAAAATTTTCAACTCATCTTTTAACTTCGCTAGTTAAATTTACAATTTGATAACTGTTAATTAACCGACATTGCTTATATTTAACTTGAGTTAATTATTTTGATTAACTTGCTATCCTTGAATATTATCTTGGAAAACAAAAATAACATTATACAAAGTGCTACTGAGACTGGCACTATATGATTGTGGAACTTGGGCAACATATGAAGATAAACTAGCTAATTTTGAACAAAAGGTTCTTAAAAAATATAAGGCCAAAAAAAATAAATAAATAATTGGCCAAGGGAAATTTGAGCTGAGAACAGTAAAATAGAAGAATTGTATGGTGAAATTAACATGATTGGAGTCTTTGAGAGGTGAACTGGTCATCTATGAAAATCAGAACATTCCTCATGTTAGTCAAAAGATGGTAACCAAACAAAATAAAAAAGGCCTAGACAGTATGTACAAACAGGATTACCAAGAATGTTTTGAGTTTAGGAATAAACAATGAAAACAAATTGGCTAATGATAGATAGATAGAGATAATTCTTTGTTGAAGCACAAATGGCCTGTTAAAAGAAGAAAGAAGAATAACTTCGAAAAAAATGAGTTTAAAAGTTTAGTTATTAACAATTTTTTTAATCAAATAATTTTATAAGCTAGTTAAATATGCATGTTGTGATTCAAATAAAGCTGATATTGTTTTAAGGTATGAGAGATGAATTAAAAAAAAATACTTAATAATTGATAACTACTTGGCTGACCCCAAGTAGTTAAGCTTGAGACAAGGAAAAGGAAGAAGACATATAATTGATATACCAAGAAATATAAAAAAACTTTAAGATATCAAAATATTTTTTCTCAACTATTTTCAGAGAATTCGAGTGGCTCATTTTAAAAGAATCACTTTATAAATTATTGAAAAATTACTGAACTGTTTAAGGATTACAAAAAATATCATTTAAATTAAATAATGTCTTAGTGCACATTACTTATAGTAGATTTCATACTATATTTATAGTATTATAAAAATATTGATACTACAATCATAAGATGATTTTTTTTTAATTATAATTTCAACTGTTAATTTCACTCCCTCAATAATTTTTAAATCATACAAACCTGGTACAGGCGGTCCTTGTCCAAGTTTTGAGCCTGGTGTTGCTAAAACAGAAGGAGGAGGACCAGGAGGTTGGACATGATGTAAATGATGAGGAGGAGGTCCACCCCACATAGGCTCCATACCTGTACCTGCTCCACTCAATGTTCCATTTAAACGACCACTTATTCCTCCACGTGCATCACTCCCAATTCCTCTACTTTAGAAATTAATGATAAAATAAAATGTTTTACATTATAAGTATTTTTTTGTTTACCTATGATCTACAATTCCATTTGGTATTATATCTCGTCGATGAGGTCCTTGATCAATAGCACCTGGTGGCCTATTGAGATCATTCCATGCATTATTACCAGAATTCCAAGACTGACCATCAGGTCCAATGTCTTTTTTAGGAGGACCACCCCACATTGGCCCACCAGGCCCTTGAGGTGGTTGTCCTTGACCCCATTGATTGCCAATTGATCCAGTAGTATTTAGACCCCAGTTACCAGTATTGCCTTCAACACCACTCACACTACTTACATCATCATCTTCACCCCAGGTACCACCTATATTAGATGCTGGAGTATGGCCCCAAGGAGTTTTTGATGTATTTTGTACAGGAATCTAAATATAAAATCATTTTTATGAATAAATGATAGTAATGAAGTTAAAAAATGAAAGTGTATTACTTGTAAAGGAGGTTGACCACCATTTCGTAAGGTTGCTTCCCATAAATCTGTACCATTATTAACTTTACTCCACCCTGGCCCACCAGTCAATCCAGTTAATGGTCCATCTTTGGTATTGGGTTCTGGGCTATGTGGTACTTCCCACTGACTATCTTGATTAACGTGTTGACCACCCCAACCATCTTGTGCATACAAAGCTTCTCGCATTGTATTTATTTGTTCCAGTTGTTGTTTAGTTGAAGGATTTACTGCTCCATTACCCCCATTTGAGGGAGGTGAATTAGTAGACTGAGGATTAGATGCAATGCCAGAATTAGTACTAGCTGTAGTAGTAGTTGTTGATGAATTTCCTGACACCTGTGGACCCGATGAGGCAGGCAAATTTTTACCAGCTGCTTGAGCCCATGAAGTAGTGTTTTGTTGACTGGTCGGAGTTTGTGATGTTGATAAAGTACTATTGCCACTTGAAGATGCAGAACTTGAACTTTGCCCTTTATTACCTAAAACAATATATTGTATAATTGCCCTGAATTTCTCATTTTTATACATAGAAGTTATAGTTATGTTTAAATAAATTTATACTAATTATTAATATAATAACTATTTCACAATGATAGGCATTACCGTCAAACTTAGTAGAATTTAATTGTTGTATAAAAAAAATATTGTAACCCAAAAAACCAATCTTTTTTTTTAAAATTAATTTACATCAAATAAATGGCTTAAATAAAATTAACACATGTTGAGGTTCTAGGATGAATGTTTCTATAAAATAAGTTGAATGAGATTAAAATTTCTATTAAAATTTTATAAGAGTAGTAACAATAAGTATTTATCAATAATAATCATTGTTATGTTGTAAACATGTAATAATTTTGTATAGTTTACAACAATTTTTTTTATCTTTTTATAAGATGTTTATACAATACGTATGTTATAATTTATATAATAATAAATGTAATTGAAATATAGCAACACGAGCATTTTTAATTTGAAAATATTTCAGAGAACCTGTGTCCTTTATAGTTGTATAATAATTATTTAAAGGTTTTGATTAGAAATTATTTAGTAGGAAAACATTTGTTTAAACAATTAAAAAAAAATAATTTCCACAATTTGTCTGTATTGAATATTTTTTTTATCTAATTGAATCATATTTTTTAGCATAAATTATTAAAAATTTAAAAGTAAATTCTTGGACTATGATATTTTTATGTATATTTTTTATTTTATAAAATATTACACATTTAAAATGTTTTTGATATTTTGTTGTTGAGGTTTAGTACTTTTTTCTTAATTAAGAAATCAAAACTTTTAAATAAAAGCAGGTTTTTTTCTAAGAAAAATAAGTTAATTAGCTTCGATGCGAAGCTGAGAAGGTATTGGTTTTACTAAGATGTGTTTTTTTTTTATTACCACTTTTTCTCAGCTCTCACCGAACGGATTTCTTTCAACAATACGTCAAAAGATCACAAATCGTATCTAGTCGAAGACACTTTTATATACATCTTAAATTAAAGGTAATGTAATATACTTTAATTTGAAAAAAAAAAAAATTTGACCTCTGGACTTGTCTTCATGGTGAAAATAGACATCAAAGTTAATAAAAACATACGATTTTTGTAAAATAATTCTTTTTTATATTTTTAACTTAATAATGCTTTAACTTTTTGGAAAATGTATGAATAAGTAATTTTTTTTCTTTTATAGATGCTTGATGTCTTTACCTATCATTTGGTATATTTTTTTTGTAAATATGACCCTTTACCTGTCCACAGGGGGGGATTTAAAATGATAACTTTTTCACAAAAAATTTACTTTTTCAACTTAACTTTTAAAAATGTTCCGAAAGGTCTGACACTTTTATATATATCTTAAATTAAAACTAATGTAATATACTTTATTTTGAAAAAAAAAAAAAAAAAAATTTGACCTCTGGACTTATCTTCGTGGTGAAAATGGCTACCAAATGCTTTTTTTATGTGAAAATTCTCGATATTATTTTTTACATTTTTAACTTTATTATGCTATAACTTTTTGAAAAATATATGGATCAATACAATTATTTTATGAGAAATAATATTTTTTAATAATCACTTTTTCATTCGACATACTTTATCTTAATCAGGATATTAATAAGGAACTAGCAGATCATGTAGCTTTTGGAATAATACACCAATTTGTTAAAATTAAACATTATCTAAAGATTTGCATCGAAGCGTTTTTTTTTTATAGTGATTTTAATCACAGTCAGATATCATTATACTTGATCCAACTATGCCACGTCACCACTGTGCCGCGACCCCCCTGTGCTGGGTTTTTTTTTTATTGTTATTGGTGCAACTTCGATTCTTATAGTTTTGTGTAATATGAGTATTAGTGTTATTTTCCTATCAATTTTTATTTTTGTAATTTACTTGATTTGCACAGTATTTCAAGGCATGGGGACTTGTTTTGGGCACACTTTATGAGTTAGATCACTAGTGGTTATAATAATTTGTTTAAAATATTCAGAGTAAATTTCTTAAAGTATAGCTCACCTATATTAGATGTTTGACTAGTATTATTTGAGCTGGTACTAGAGGACTGTGGGGTTTGTTGCCATGGACCACTTGAAACATTTGGAGGAGACTGACCATCAACAAGTGGACTTGTATTCCAGTTTGAAGTACCAGTAACTGATGCTGGTACTGGTGTTGTTCCAGGGTTTCCCCAACCTGCTGTAGCCGTACCATTACCAGAAGCAAGTGTTGTTTCACCACCTCCAATTAAACGACAGATAGTAGAAATACCCCAATTTCGTTTGTACTGTGCAATTGGATCATCAATATAGAGTTTTTTAAATGGAATGGTTTTGTACATTGCGCTTTGATCATCACTGTCATTATCACTTGTTGAACAATTAGACTTAACCCTAAAATTAATAGTAGTAGTAACATCTTTATTGTGAGCACCAGAGTAGCAAGCCAGGTTAGGTCGTCTTCCAGTTCTCCCCCATGTAGAACTTTCAACATTACTGGCAGTTACCATCGTACCATACAAATTCTAAAAAGAAATATATGCAATGCAGATAAGAATAAGATCATTTATATTAAATAAAAAATTATTATAAATACACATATTATAAAAAGTACCTGTGTTTGATGATGGGACGGAGGACCTCTAGTAAATCTAAATGTTGAGCTGGATATCACAGACCAATTCAAGGGGGTGGTGGGCAAATGCAACACAAATGATGATTGCCGGGAATGGCAGAGGGAGCCAGCTCCTCCTCCAACTACCACCCCGTTTATTTTGTTTCTTGCTATTGTAGCAGAGGAATCAGCCTTATCAATGACATTATTACACCATCCTACCACAGTTCATTATTTAATTATAATACACAATTTTTAAAACAATATACACACTAGGTTGGCACAAATAACCGATAACTTTACTAACTTTTGATGCAACTATTATTTTACTGTAATTTTAAAAAAATAATTTTTGCTCTCTTAGATTATGTTAGCAACATATTTCTTGTTATTTATTTCTAACAGTTATATAATTTTCATTTTATTTTAATCTATCCAAAAATTATTTAAACTTTTTTGTATAAAAAAAAGGAATGTATAGCTTAGCAGTTTAATAAAGTAAGATTATTTTATACTTTTGATAGTTCAATATTTTTAGTTAACAGAATTGTCTCAGTACTGATTATATAATAGAAACGAAATGTAAAATTTATACTTTATAAGAGCTAACAAAAAGAAAATTGAATTAATTACCTGTGCTTAAAGACAAGGCATCACAACAAATGTTGGATGGTAGGGTAACTGTTGTGGCACATACAATTTCATCCTAAAAATTTTTTAAAAATTTTTACTCATATTTTTCACTTTTAAAATACGATAGCAAAAAA